TTTTAACACTCCCCTTTTTTCATTCATTTGCTCAGTTAGATCAGCTGCTTTTGTCAGGATGAGTTTAAATCTGGGTCCACTGTGTTAATCACCCCCCATTCTTCTTCCTGGCACTTACCCTCCAGGCATTTTGCCTCTTTAGGAGATTAAGCGACCAAGTCATCTTGTTGCTCTAACATGTCCTCGCTGGAGCAACATATTAACACAATTCCTCTGCAAAAGAGCCCTCTTTAGAAGTTTGCTGCAGGGATGACAAATTAACCCAGCATGGTGTCCCACACATCTATCTCAGTACAAATTATTAGTGTAATAGAGCTTTTAGTTATGCATTTATCTAGTAATTATTGAACGGTTATACAAAACGAAGCTGAGCAATCATGGCCCTTTATGAGGCAATCTCAGTGGGTGGCCTTACAGTTAATTTAGGATAGGACTGTCTAAGCAGTTCGCTCACACACAAATTAGCTGAACAGCCTGCTCCTTTAAATATTTCCTATGTCACAGGCTAACTCTTTACAATACAACAAAGGTAGAGTTTTAATTACACGGTTCCTGACTTTTGTTTAGCTGAAGCTTTAACCGTTTGCAAGCCTTCCTCTCCGCTCTCCCCGGCCTGGGGTATGGGGGTCGATGGCACTTTGGGTAGGGCATCCAGTGATTACTACACCCTGACCCTGAGCCCATCTGTTAGGAAACCGTTTTTCCTTCAACTTCCTCGTATTTCGAAGTGAGCGGAGAAAATCAGAGTCTTCACCACAGCGTCAGCCGCCCTCACCCCGCGGCGCTGCTTTGCCCCGACGATGAGCAGCGCCCATCTGCTGCTCAGCAGCACCCGATTCCAGGTTTCTGCCCGAACGGCTTGCCCTGGCGGTGTGGCTCCCTGCCCTCCCGGCTCTCTTACAGTACCATCCCCTGCTCTGCGGTGTCGCAGTCGGAATGGACTTGCACCGCCTGGTTTTTGTGGGAATGCAAAGCTGAGTAGAAGGCTGCATCGGTGCCCCGGCTGCCAGGAAGGAGGAGCAGCGGCGGACGGTTGTGCGCGCAGGATGTTACAGAACACCCTCTATGCCGAGCAGCTCTGGAGAGAGTTAGCAGGAATTAGCACTGTGGCTCGCCCAAAGCCAGCTGCCGGGACAGCTAACAGGCACCGGTATTCTGGTGACCCTGTGGAGATTCCTGATAGGGAAGGACACAGTGTCTTCCCACATTTGTGACTAAAGTTTTTGCCCCTTTGGCACAAACAGGGAGTACTGTCCTGCCGAGCTTCCCTGGTAGGCCTTGTCCTGATAAAAATCTCAATGGCGATGCTTATTATGGAGGAAATTAATGTAATGGGAACCACTCCACTACTTGACTTTCATGCCGCCTTCTCTTTCTGCTCACACACCCACTTCCTCGGGTTCTTCCCTTTGTGCTGTATTTCTTGTTTCTTGTGATTGTGTTTCTCCTTCATTTATCTCCCTAACATACCATCTTGTTCTTATTTTTTTTATTTTCTTGCCTTTTCTTCCCTGCTTTTTGGCTCGCAGGATCTCTGCTGTCATATTCTGTGGAAATGCCTGAATGCCCTACAGCACAGGCCGCTGTGTATCCCAGGTTTACAAGATCGTGGTCAATTTAACGTTTCAGCCAGCTCCAGATAGAAAGCCACTAGAGTGCAAGTAGCAATACATGGAAACCTAAACCCACTTATGTAAATACTGCTGTCACCCATAGCGTTTGAACCCGTCACTCTCTGCTAAAGAGTTCAAGCGGGCTAGTGTCCGGGAAACTTTGCAAGATGCCAGCAATGCGGGACGGCTCCGCGATGCTGGACTACCGTGGGGAGCTCCACTGACCACCAAATCATCTAACTTGCCGGTAACAAAAGTATGCTGCGGAGGAGAGAGAGATCTAACTGCTTGAATTTTCCAGGCTTTGAAATAAATTCTAAAACTGATAGTGATGCTAAAGCCACCCTATAGGTGATCAATTTACCATCTGCCAGACGCTGAATCCTAACCACACTGGTCCAGAGAAGACATATGGTGCATTCATAGAGTCATGCCCAAAAAACTGCCATCATCAAGTGAGGCTCCATGAATCACTTTGCTAGCTTATCACCAAAGAAACTTGGATCTTACCACCATCTGTTGGAACCACCGAGGAGTCACTGAAGCATTGGCATCCATGCGCCAGCACTCACTGCACATCTGGTCCTTTGGTCAGCCAGCTCGGATCCTCCCGGCTGGCTACTGCCCAGCTGGGCTGCGCACTGGCACCAGCACCAGCGCAGAGAGCAGACTAGTGCGCAGCCTCCCACAACACGGCATGGTACTGACAAGTTCACGAGAACGGAGGTTTTCCAACCGGTTCATTGAATGGAGCACCTTGGAGCCAAGAATCCCCTTCGGGATCTCCCCCTCCTCCAGGCAAGTTTTGTTGCCAAAGTGACTTATTGTGGGCATCACTGGGAAGGGCGCTCAGTCTCCTGGGACAGCCCAGCGTAAGGTGTGCACTGTGTTCCAAGGAATGTTAGGAAGGGTGTGAAAGATTCGGGAATATTCCTGAGAAGTTGTAAGTCGCTGGTTGTCAAGGACAACACCTGCCATGGCCAGTCTGCAGCTGCTTCTCTGCTGTCTCCTTCGATCGAGCTTTACAAGTGCATCGCACACATGCATCCGAGGGATAAACCTGCACAGACGAACATCGGAAGGAGATCGAACCTCCTTGTGATCGGTCAGTTGGCTGAGGAGCTTACTCTGATGGTGGCCTACTTCCTCCTGACTTTCCTTTCTCTGAAATCTCTCTGCAGACTGAAGGTGAAATCCTGCTCTTACGTTTCTGAAGATCACGCAGAATGACCTGCCCCTGACCATTTTCCTAACGCGAGTGTACCCAAAGGAATGCGAGGTGTGGTGCCACATCGTACCCATCACTCCTGCAAAAAGGCAGGGTAGCTAATGGTGGCTGCGGACGGCTCAAAGACTACGTCCTCTTGCACGACTCCATTACACTCTTTATGTTGCCACTTTTGATACCTGAAAAACTTCTCTCTCCTGCTTGCTGCCCTAAGGTACACTGGGTGGAAGGGGATGAAGAACAAAGCTGGATTTGCAGAAAAGAATCCATCGCAGTATATTCCCCTTTCCTAACGGAGTGGTGGTTGTAGAAGAGACATAAACGCAGCCAGTGTGCTGCGGAAGAAGAATACTGAAGGGGAACGTCCAAAAAGAACAAAGGACGAAGTCTGGAACAACATTCTTCCAGGATGATGACACTTAAAGAATCCATGGGTGGATTCAGAGGGGTTTTTCCTGAAAATCTGTAAGACTCTGCTTGTGAACATGTATGAAATAGAAGATTCTTCTAAAGGATGTTGCAGAAGAACATTTTTTTCTTAACCTGTTAGGAAGCAGGATGACCAGAAACTGCGTTATTGCTTTACGAAGGTAGTAAAGACATCTCCTTGCTTCCAAACAAAATTTGGAAACTCTAATCATTGGAAAGGCTCTTTTGGGTTCTGGCTGTCTTTGAATGTTCTTCTCACACAGCCGATGGATATCCCCCACTGCGCAGAAAAAGTCTCGTTAAGAGAGACTGTCAATGAGACTTAAACAAGGCCTCACCAGGGACACATTTCCTCTCTCAACCACAGAAAATTCCAAAATACAGAGTGTAAACGGGGCAGAGAAAGCCATTCAGTGGTCTAAAGAAATGAATGTGAGATAAAACACAGCTAAATAGAGAAAGGCCTATGAACTAATCAATCACCAACGCAACTCTAAAAGGCGGGGTGTGCACTGAATATGATGTTAATGGAGCACTCGTATTATTCACACTTATATCACCAATTATCAAAGCTTTTAAAAGAAGTTCTATTTGCCAGACAGCTCGGATCCAAATTTCAAGGGAAATGTGTACAGAACTTAGATGCCTAAATATCTCCTGAGGATCTAGGTGTGAGTCTGAGGGTAATAAATATTTTTTATGGGAGTAACCACAACAAATCAAACTACAGCAAGTAGCTTTAATAAAGCACAAAACCCCATGAGGTGAGATTCTGACCTCGCTTCAACCTGGTGCAATTCCACTCCCTCACACTGCATCACCTGGACTGTGCAGAGGAAGAGGCTCCTCCTCATTCACGCTGCCCTCGATAAAACCACGCTAATGCCAAACAGACCCTTCAAAATACTTTCTAGTATGAATTGCTAATATCCCCTTTTATGCTTCACCATTCGACCAATTCCTTAATAATCTTCTCTAAATGAGACAGAATTTCATAGCAGAAAGAAACATGTCACAGCCATTCATTCCTATTTTTGTATCTTCCAAAGAGGTTTGTAAGAAGAGTCGTTCATTTGTGGATATTACTATGCCCAAGTGAGTTCCTTTTCAAATGTGAACCGAGCATCGCATTTAGTTTTCTAGGCTAAATGCAAATGCATCTTTCTGACAAAAATGTATAAGCACGTCTAGACCCAGAGGACATCTCTTTACTCGGAAAGTCAGCCAGGAGAGCGCTGCGGAGAAAACCAGCCAAGCATCGCAGGAACCAACTCCCAAGGAGTCCCCTAACAAGGCGGTTCTTCGGCACAGCGCTGCCAACGACGCGAGCCGCAGGTGACCGCAGGAACAAAGCCACCCTGCCTGGTCCTGAGGGAGCGGCGGGTCCCTGTCTCGAGCGGTCGGACCGAATCCGTGCTGGGGATGGACACAGGCAGAAGGCACTCTCTGTAACACATCCTGTCCCTTTCCCCACCCTCTTCAAACAAAAGCCCGGCCTCTCCACCTCAGGCGCCGTGGAACGGCCAGCGGGCCCTTTACCAACAGCCCAGCCTAGCAAAGCCGAACGCAGGTCTTGGCACTAGGACCTCCGGGTTAGCGGGCTTCGGCAGCGCAGCCTCTCACTGGGCGGGTCGCACGTCGGATGCCGTTCCGAGGAGAGGCGCTGGGGCGGACAGCGCGTGCCGTGGCTAACGCTTAAGCTGCCTGGGGGCTCTTGGGTTAGGCCTCACCTCTGGGTCCTGTAATGACAGGTCGATGGTGCTGTGTGAAAGCCGTTCCAAGGGAGGAGGTCTGCGAAGGCGAGGGACTGCTGAAACCAGACTTCTCTGACTTCTTTAATGTAGTTGGCGATGGCATTATGATAAGTGCAATTTAATAATGCTAGGTCATGGAACGACAGCCTATGCATTGTGAAAGTGGGTGCAGAAGCAGCTAGAAAAACTTAAAGGACAAACGAAGCGGAATACAACAGCAAGCTGATAGCTCCCTTTTGTCTGGGGTCTCTGTTGAGGCAGAAGCGGCCACGCTTTGCACAACGAGTACTAAAAGGCAGCCATATTTTTCTTTTAAATCTGAAATATGGGTAAGATGCAGCTTATTATTGCTACCGAAACCTACTCTGCTTTATTTTTAGAAATCTGTAATAGCTGGAGCATTTGGATTTTTACAGGCTTTTTATGAGTTCTGTCTTTCACTCACTGGTTTAGTAGATTATTGCAAATGGATCTTTTAAATGTGCTGCACGACTCAAGGCACAACTAGAGAATGAAGTTTTCTGAGTTCAAACTCTGCCTCTCCTTTCGCTCTTGACTTCAAAGGTATTTGAAAGCAATACATTTGTGTGGTTGCCTTTTGCTTTCCAAATTATTTTTAAAGGGTGAATGGTATTTGTGTCTTGATATTAGAAGCCACACTGGAATTATTTCAGAGTTGTTATTATGCCCCTGAACTGTATCAAAGGCTTCCAATGAAAATCGGAGTTAAGTTGCATTGGGCGACACCTCTCCCGTGGACAGGCAGAAATGGTGTAATGCTAATACGACTCATTTGTTATGCTCTGGAAGAATAACTCCTGTTCATACCATATCAAGCCCGTGGCACCAAAGAAATTCGTGGAATGAATATATTGCAATATATTGCACTAGGCTCTTAAATTTTGAGCCTTTTCTGCGTCTGATTTATGCCTGGATAAAAGAATATCACAGCATACAGATGAAGAATATGTATGTGTTTCCATATTATTCTCTATATTTTTATGGTTCTAGAGCCATGTGGGTATTCTGATTATCTGCACATACTCTGAAAACACGTAATTTCCAGCATAGAGCATACATCAGACATTTTGCATATCCGTAGGGACGTAGCAAAACAAAGGTGCAGAATAGTTGAGGGCTCAGGTGAAAAAGCAAAATATCAGACAACGTGGAAGGTGAACGTCCATGAGCAAAACCATTCACCCTTATTTCCAACTCTGCATTTTCTAGAGTTTAATTGTTCAAAAGTAAAGAGAGAGGCCTGGACAATATTCTCTCTGGACAATATTATTAACTTTATATTTAATAACACTGGTTTTATAGTCCCTGGGATGTTGACTGTAATATGCAGGAGCCTTCTTGCACTTTATGCACTGCACTGCTGGGGTCTTTATGGTTTCAGTGAGGTTTTGCAGTTTATATTTCAGAAGGTTAAATAAAGCAAGGGAATGGTTAGAGTTCCAGTGCTGTGCAGCTTCCTGTCTTGAAACTGTTTGCTACAAGGGTTTGCTGTTGTGGTGGCTTTTTCCTCATAACAAGAAAGGTTAATTACTTAATATTTTAAAAGGAAAAAGTTTAGAACTGACAGACTATTGTGCAAGAAAAATACTGGGTTGTGGGGTTTTGGGTTTTGTTTTTTTGTTTTTCACATTGGTCTTAAGGACTTGGGAGTAGGGACAAAAGCAAGAAGTTGGTTCAGTTTGGGGGTAAGAGAGAAAAGGAGACTGAGCCAAGGTACTTCAGTGAAATAATCCAATGCATCCTGCTGAGTTTCTGCTCACCCGCCGAGCTGGGATGCAACCTGGTTACTCCTCACTCTGAGCGTCCATACCCAGGGCACGGACCCTCGTAACAGCACTGTCGACCCGTCTCCTTATGACGGAGGAAAAGGGGATGGAAGCACCAAATGAGTGTCAACGCCAGCCCCAAACACAACGTCAAGGGTCAGCGGCGATATTTGTGCGTGGGGAAGGGTAGAGGTTACGCGGCTGCAGCAAGGCCGTGGGTACAGCTCTGCGCTGGTTTTGAAGAGGCAGGCTCCATCCCTCTAAGCGCAAACTATCACGGACAGGGCAAGTGACTATTTTACACACGGGGTATATGCACTCTGCGCTGCTCGAACTGCGGGCTTGTGCGGCACCCTTGCGTGGAGGCACAAGGTCCCGCGCGTGGCTGACGGCCCGGAAGGAGCGCGATCTCCGAGCCTGCGCGCCGGATGGTTCGGCTGGCTCATGACCTCCCTGCTTCGCCCATCTCCTCCAGCTGCACACCCCTTCAGGGTTGGGAAGGACAATAAAGCTTCTGAAGAGCGAAGGAGCTATTCTTTTAGCCCTGTGCTAAAAAACCTGCTTGGCTCACCTGAACCGTGGCAGGGGGAAGGGGCAGAGAGAACAGGGGAATAGGGGTTAAAGCTGGAGCAAGTTCATGGGAACGTGTCCAACCGCTGGAACTCGAGGAGGTACAGCCAAGCTGATGAAGGACCTTGCACCGTGGCAACGCTGAACAGTGTCACGTTCATAGGGAGATGGATTTTATAAGGTTGAGGCCGCTGTTTTCATGTGAAAATAGAGATTTTAAGGTAACACTGTGTTGTAAAATTGAGAAGAAAGAGAAACTGAAGCACTGATAACTGCTTCCTACTTTTGTCATGTTTGTCATCATCATACCGATTGCCATTATTATTGCTACACTTTGTGGGTTTTTTTTTAATCTCAGGGTATTCTGAAATGTATGGGTTTGGAACAGTCCAACTCTACCATGTTTTTATTTTGTTTGAGGTTTGTAATGACACATTTTATTTTGAGTGATCATATCCATCACATCTCAAGAAAAAGATGGCTGCTTCCTAGTTCAGAAGAATATGTAAACAGGAGCTTAATTACATCACTTAATATTGACCAAGAGAAAGATTAAGACGAGTTTGCCAGCTCATTTCCAAAGCATGTTTTGTCCTTTAAGAGGGAAGGGTATGACAGAAAGTTAGGCAGTGCAAAGCAATTAGCATCATTCACATTTTATGTTGCGCTAGCATGGTGCTCTAGCACCTAAATCCAAACATTCTTTGAATGGGTTAATAAAAGAAGAAATACAGTCGGCATGCAAGAAAAAGGTTTCCAAGAACAAGCCAAAATATGTCCCATTCTTCTAAATTTATCACAGCCATGTCACATTATCCTTGAGACTGCCAGGAATGTCAATTTTTTTGCAATTTAAAAAAAATATCTCATTTAGCACCATATGTTTGGTTAATGTGCCTGATATATCCTGCGTATTCTTTCGTCCACCCATTTCTAATATCCATCTTCTTTTTTTTCTCCCTTGCTAAGCCATATGTTACAACGCTGGTCATTCTATCAAAGCTCCTCTCAGGAGCTGAGAGCGAGGGAACTCAGGTTTAATCACCCAGGAAAATGTCAATTTGATGCTACTAGTCTCATTTTTAGGTACGCCGTCTCAACACCGGGTTAGCACCGTAGGTGCCCCGGAAAATCCGGCCACCTCTGAGATGGCGTGGTGTGTATTAGCAACTGCGGGGCAGCAGCTAAGGTAAATGACTAAATATGGAATGAGGTGTTTAATTTTCGGCACCCATGTTTGAGACCCTTCGCTAGTTTTAAAGGTCTTCGGTCTCGTACCTAATGAGTTTTAACACATTAGTGGTCCCCAGCCCGCGGCCTCCCCTCCTGCGTTGCTCAGGGATGCAGGAAATTAAAAAGTTGAAACTGAAGCTATGCCGGGCAGAGCCCAGGGAGGATGCTGCTGCCTTGCCCGGCTTTCCTCAGCATTGTTCCCAAGAGCTAACGAATCCCGAGGACCACGGCACCGAAGACCAGGCCTCAGCGCTTCACACGGCCCCAAGGAAGGGGTAGTGCCAACCCGTAAGGACACCCCCGAGCCCCGACTCTCCTCTGCCTCCTCTCTGGCACAGGGCAGCAACAAATTACGCTATCCCCCAGCCCCTCTCAGCTGCGCTGGCCGGGGAATAGGGAACGGAGCCAAGGATCCTCCCCGTTCCCTGCCTCTTTCCATCCATCTGCTCCGGGCAAGGAATGAACAGGGACAGCCAGAACACAACGGCTGGGTAACCCAGGTGGGGTTTAGGAGTGTTTCTTACTATTCTGTGTTCAGGACTGTTGTCCAAATCACAGTCACACCTGGCACTGCTAGGAAGCACAGATTCCGTAATTCAGGTCCAAGTCCCCTCTGAACGGTATTTAGGGTTCGAGAGAAGAAATTCAGACTTAGCCTATTTTCACCTTATGGCAGCTCTTAACTACAGAATAAATGGAAAAGTTAATTGCTAAATAAAAAAGAAAACAAAGGGATTTGTGGCATAAAACACAGATGGAAGCCTGAGTGGGTGTGTTGCTTTAACTCGCTGTACTTGCGCTCACGCGAGTCTCTGCGTGTCTGTGCCAAACATAGATGGTCTCAGCCTGCTCCCATGAACACGAATCCGTGTTTTTCACTGGACAGAGGGAACCAGATCAAAGACCATGATGGTGCTAAATGGAACAAGATGTGTACTTTGGTATTTTTTCCCAAAAGGAAATATCAATTTGACATTGGTTTTTCAGTTGAAAAGAATTTTAATTGCAGTACACAATAAGCAGAAAATTCAGACAACAATAATCTTGAAACTGTTAGCAGCATTGTATGTCTATCAAGGAATCTGTGTGCCTTTTCAACATTAGAGCTTTCTGAATTTTCATTAATTTGGCATTTCCCTAAACACACAAGTTATTTTGTTCATTCCACATCATGCATCACACCCTTCTGCTCAATGCATAATGCAAGCGTAAATGGGATCCTCGTCCTTGAGAGACTCTGGTTACTGGAGCCATTGCACGGATGTTGAAGTCCCGCAGAAAGACCTTCCAAAACTCTGCACTTCGCAAACCTCCAGCCCACGTTTAACCAGTGAATGCACGGGAATACTTCATGTTCCTCATCTTCTAAGGGGCACTGGAGCACTGTGATGGTTTTAATTCCTCTACCTCCTTACGTTTGCCAGTACTAGAAACGCACCACATAAGAGTCTTCCTTGAGTACAGCTAAAGGTCTTCAAATTGTCATGTACGAGGCTGATACATATTTAAATGGACCAGAAAATGATGTGTGAGAATTGAATGCACAAACCAAATCCTTCCCAGACAAATAAGTATCTACGAACCCTTCTTCCACATACCTGTGCACCTTCCTGACAGAGGTACTGAAACTAGGGCTAAGTGGGATGGAGCGAAGGGAGTCGCAGCGGTGTGCGAGGAGAACGACTCCCCTTCGCTCCAGATGCGTAGCTCTGTCAGTAGCTCTATCTGTATATCCATCCAATTTCCCTTGATTAATTACCAACATCCTCCTGACTGCACACATCTTAATAACTCCGTCTCAAACGAGCCACACTGCCAGACCAGCTAATATTCATCTCCAAAGACGACTTTGGGGTGATCACCCCCATATTCCCAGTAGCCCTCTGCCACTAGACTTGCGATGGTGATTTCATAACAAAAGCTGTGAATGAAATGTGGTCTGGAACTTCATTCCCAAGGGACACTGTGAAAAGGACCCACGGAAGCTCAGATGTTACCGGCTGGACCATGAACTCAACAACATGCAGAACAAACAGATGATGCAGAAAACAAGTTGGCTGTTGAAGAAAAAGGTGATAGAATTTTCCAAGGAATTTTCATCCTTCTGTGCAAATTATTCCAGCAATTTCACTGAAATCAGTATCACCAGAACTGCTGAGCAGCTTCTTTGTTAACTGGGGAATTCTTAATTTTGAGCCTATGGAGATTTTGATGGCGATACTACTGTCAAGCCGTCGTTAAGTCTGTTCTACTTAGTGCTGAGCAAACTTTGTCATCAGCTGAGATACGACCGCACTAGCTGCCATCCATCAGTTTGCCGTGTTAGTTGTTCCACTATACACAAAACACAATGCAGATGGAAATTCACTCATCCTAATGAAGTGCTCCTTGGTTTCTACGCTCTCAACGGCCACTTGCTCCCCTGGCCACTTTCTGAGTTACCGTGACGGCTGATCAACTACCTGCCGGTGAGTACCTCGCCTCACGAGCCTAAATCCAGCCTAATAACCACTGATTCTACAGAAGAAAAATGAAAGCTCCCCCTCTAGCCACTTAGGAAACTACTGCATATGCATCACCACCACACACAACCGGTTTCCTCAGAACTGACATCTGAGGGATCATCAGGAAAACAGAGCTGAGCTATCTGTACCCATCAGCATCGTATCACAGGTGACTGCCAGATACTTAAGGAGCTGTCCCAAAGAAATGTCACAACTCTTTTTCAAGACGCTACAAAAGAAATGTTCCAAATAAAATAAAACAAATGCACGTACAAGTAAATGAGCCAAAGAACTTAATAAAAAGAGATTGATTAAAATGAGGACCAGAATGTTCAAAAAGGACTGAGAGAGAGAGGTGCCAAAGGCGCAGTAAATGGATTCAATGGCTTTAGGTTTTAAATGCTTTTGGACTCCTCAGCAATTTTTAGCCAAAAACGATAATTCAAGTTAGAATCACAATTCTGATGTCACTTAGGAAAAAGAAGGTTGAAATTTCTCCTTTGTAAAGAGTGCTGCTCCATTTACAAAGGAGAAATATCAGTTTATAGTGATGGAAAATCTTGCCTACAGAATTTAAAACTGAGGATTGCAATACTCATTGTTATTTTAAAGCCCTATCCCATTAAAATCTGCCTTAAATTGGTTGTGCAATGTTCCCATAGAGTGTATTACCTCATTTGTTTGTATCTATGTTTACAGCATCATCTGGATTGTTTAAGATCTCTCAAGTTATCCTTCATTCCTGCCTTGTCACCCAAGTGGTTCTTTCAATAACTAATAAACTAGTACTCAACCTATTACCACTTTCTTCAAAATACAATTTCCTGGGGTTTATATTTAAAAACTTTGAGGAGAAGCATAACAAACAGCAAGATAACAGTTCAATTTTCCATTTGATTCAGTGTTAGTTTCAGGATCATTTTGCATTGTATAAATGTATATTGTAATAAGAATCAAAAAAAATGTTCTAATGACATCTTTAAACACATCGTCATTTAAAATCCATGACTACATTTGTTTCCTTTCAAATGTGATTTGAGAGTTTTTCAGCATACTTGGCAGATTAGATTTAGCAGCAGGGACAAACTGCAGCCATCCATAGGAGAATATACCTTTATGTGGGTGCTTTGGGGCTGGAACATCTAGAGCTGTAAGGCAAAAAATGCCATCATAAATTTGGATGGCATTTACAAAGCCCTCTAAAAAGTCTTTGCATATGATTATAGCTGAGGTATGATATTTTTGCAAGTAAAAGACCCAGAATAGATTTATGTTTCAACTATATCTTCCTGAGATGCATATGGATGCTAAATTGCAAGTGATACCAAAGGGAATTTTAGTAACTGAAGAGGATGGAGTCAAATTTTCTGTGTTTTCCCCCCCTGCCCCAAAATCATTTGCTCATTATTTGCATGTCACCACAAGATCACTGGCTACCCAGGCTATATGCAACAATGATGGCTGCTAAATGCCACCGGCACAAGGTGGGGATGAGTAAATACACACATTTTTCTGACCTGTGAGCTCAGTCACCGCACGGTAATGTTTTCAAATGACTTTCACGATGACAAGACTAAGTTTGGCGTTAATATTGGTTCTGAAAACTTAATCTCTACTCACTGCCATTGAACATATCTTTTCGTTAATAAAAGAGCTGTGGTCAGCATTGAAAGTGGCTCAGGTAATGTACCATGTTCTGTAAAGTCACCTGGTTCCTCGGCAATTCGAGGGGAAGCGTTCACACGTTATTCCAAAGCAAGCTGCAAGCTGCCTTCCTGCGCATGGCTGCAAACTGAGTTGGGTTTGTAGTTTGACAGGTCGAGAGCGTACTCGTGGAGCTGTTAGGTACTGCTATCCAGTGCTCCCTGGTATGCTTCCCAAACGACCGCTCCGGTTCGAGTCTCAGGACTGAACCGCCACCTCGTTTCTCCGTAACACAAACAGTAGTTTGTAGCTGACCTGCAGCTGCTGTGCTCTTTTACTGGGAATTCTCTGCTGTGCTCTTTTACTGGGAAGCCTCTGCCGGCAGCTGAGCGGTGGCGAGCGCCGGCTGGAGAGGCACCGCGGCCCTGCCGCCAGCAGCTCCCGGGCAGCGGAGACTTAAGCTGCTTTCCAACAGGTCGGCTCCCAGGCAGGTGATATCAGAAAGGTGAAATCAGCCTCATTTTTCTGCATTCCCAATGGCTTTTGGATTCTAGGAGGCACACAGAATCCTCCCGGAAAAAATATTTTGTCCCCATTGCAGAGAAGGCAGAGCACAGCAGTTGGCTTTGGCAGCGTTTCCAGAGGAGCCGAGTATGGCCGTACAGCCGGCAGGTCAGCTTGTGGGATCTGCCCAACACCTCTCTCGTCTACTGAGCCGTTTAAAACAGGTCTGACAGAGAGGCAGAGGGCTCGCAGGGAAAAATATCCCTGCAAGTGTCGTGAAACAGGCATGGGAAGGGCAGAGGTAACATGGAAGTGCTCCCTCCAGTGCTGTCGCTCTGGCAAAGTGCTCGGCAGGAGCTCCCTCCGTCCTAGACACTGGAGAGGGACACCTGGAACATCCCCCCAACCAACACAGAATGTCTATGCACTGAGAACAAGAGCATTGGCATTGTTTGAATAAGCACACCCACCATGAAGTGCTCCGCGGTGTTCGGGGTTTCTTAGATATCCTAATTTTATAAAAGAAAGTAAAAGAAGAAAAAAGAAACAAGGTGAGAGAGAACACTATCATATTTTGTAGCAAGCAGGATACTGTGTGAAATCTTGGCCCAGTGAAGTGATAAAGGGGAAGCTTTCAGTTTGCTTAAGGGAAAACTTACGAGCAAATAGTAAAATTAGCAAAATTCCACATTGCAGGAAACGGGTGCCTTTAGGTTCAATTAAGCTGCTAAAAGGAAAATGGCACTTTAGCTTACAAAAACGAAGGGACAGAGGGAGCTATCAGAGGTAACTTTACAGGATGTGTGTGCATGAGGATGCTGCTTCACTGGACCAAGAAAGCTACAGTATGGGACAGGATTTTTCTTTCATTAGACACTTTGCTAGATAGCTTTGTCGAACCTCAGAAACTGCTGCTCTGGCATTATGAAATAAACCTACATAACTTCATCTCGTGAGCTTAGCAACACAGAAAAACAGCCATGCCAAATCACATTACAGGGATCCACCTAGCCCGGTATCCTCTCCCTGACGGTGGTACCTAACGGATGCCTAGGAAAGAGGAAAAGACCAGGGACAATTCTCCAAAATACTCTCCCAGCCTCCAATGGTTTGTGATTCAGGGACTGCTAGGACAGAGCTGATATCATGGTATTGAAGATACTCAAACCAAATGCACAGATTTACACCCCCCTCCCCCCCCCTTTTTTTTTTTTGGATATCTACCCCCGTGAGATTTCTACCAGCCACACAAAAAAGGTGTCACAGTTTGGTGCTGGCAAGTCCAGTGTTCTTGCCACTAACTGGGAAGGAGCGAACAGCTTTCAAGCCCAATGATGGTATGTGTATAAGAGCATCCAACACTTTTTCCTACATAAAAAAGTGACAAGTGTGCTGAGGTGCTCTGAGTGTATATACTTCGGGAGACTGTTTTTTTAAAAAGCAAGAATCTGGCTGTAAATTGATATTAACATTTTTCAGTATATGTGTAAAACACATGTTTCAGAAGAATAGAAGAGAGAAACTGTCACTCACTGGGAAGCTTTAGAGCTATCTGGCTCCCTGGGAAACTGCATGCAACTATTCTGGTGTCCAAGGGTTTGACCAGTGAGTTTCCTCTTCCTGCAAAGAATGAATGCAGAAGTAACAGAGAGTCTGAGGGGGAGGATTTTAGCAAATGGCTAAAGATACGCCTACTCTGCCCACTCCAGCAGGTTGGAAGCAGGTGGTGGTGGAAGAAAAAGGGTGGGAAAGGAGCAAGGCCTGCCTTCCCCGCCCCGCAGCCGGCACGGGACGGGCAGGCTAACCTAGGGGAGTCCCGCAGCTCAGCCCTCCGAACCCCCGTTGTGGTGCCGCACGGATCGGCCGCGCTGCCGGCAGGTCACCCCGGCCCCAGCGCTGCCGCGCAACCCCAGGACGTTCCGCTCTGATTATCCGGGGTCTTGCTGTGACCCCCCTCCAGGAGGGAGCACGGCTCACCGGCGCCTGGTGACTGAAACCCCGCACGCCGGGGCGGCGACGCTTCCTTAGCGCTCCACCCGGAACGTGAAAACCCCGTATGCCCCACGGGAACAGGGACCTCTTAGGCTTCATGTGTGCTTTTACCCCCCGCTTCTCAGGGGAGTTTCCCTGAAGTTTTCATTTTCTGATCGAATCAGTGCCTACGTGTGAAATTTTTACTTCGCTTATGAACGGAACCAGGAAACTAGGGGTCTGAAAAAAAAAGCTTACCCGTACATTTCTGATGGCATACTGACTTTGTAAGAGTCTAAAGGCAGGAGTGATATATTGGGGAGTCCCTGTAACTTTACTTAAAGCAAAAATTAGAAAGTGATCGAAAAGTTTTATAGAGGAGAGCAGAAATATAATTTTAAGCCTCTTAAAATTGCCTGAACTGTGAAATCAAGTAATGAACGCTAGAAAAGGATCTGTCAGCTGGAATCAAAGCTTAGACTAGTCAGCATTTTCTTCCTAAACCTTATTATGGCAAAGATTTTTCATCTCTGCACTCTGTTCATCCCAACAAATAAACCAGCTTGACCTCCACCTGTTCCGGAGTGAAGTCTGCTGTCATCCCTGACTAAAGCCTCTTCTTCCCCTTCCAAGCCCCCGGCACCACGGAGGAGGTGGGAAGGCAGAGCCGTGCACCCACTCCCGTCAGTCCCCGTTCATAACCAGACAGCATTTCACAGCGCAGATCGCAAGCCACCGAGGAGGGAAAAAAAATGTAGTGCCAACGAATTCTGGAAGGGGGCAACATTTTTCATCAATTTAACAATGTGGTTTTCATAGAAAGGCGTCCTTTTTTTTTCCCGGGTGCGTGACACCAGGAACTAGCCCCTGAGGAAGAACCGTCCTGCTTACGCCCTAACACCGAACCCGCGCTACCGCCACGGAGAAGAGCTGAGGAACAGAAGGAAGAAGCTCTTTGCGTTTCCTTTGCGTTTCGAAAGTGGAACGCGTTAGCTGTTTCAGAGAGGTTCAGCCCCGAGTGCCTGCAGGATTCTAGAAACAAGTCACGGCTGTAGAGTGTGACGTTGCTAAACAAAATAAAAGAATATCATGGAACACAGAACAGGAAGAGATGTCATAAGGAAAACCACATCGCCACAGCAGTCATTTCTTCAAATACATCATCATGACAAAACCACGTAAGAAGGTTTCTTGTACAAAGACATATCAGAAAAAGCCATTTCATATAAAGTTGGACTTCTCTGGGTGATTAATGCTACGTTCAACAAAGGAGACAGTGTCTGTCTAATTACATTAAATACTTATCTTCTAGGGATTGGCAGGGTGTTTCTGCTCAATGTCACTTTTCATGACAATGTAATGATAGATCCGTTTACTTACCAGTGCCATTAGCAAAAATTGTACTGTTTTCTCAACTGCCCTCATATCACAAAAATATTTGATTAACACGCTGTAGCTTATCTAATACTCTAAGCAACATATTCTGCATAGTTTTCTCTCTATTAAAAGAACAAGATTACAGCTTGTAAAATTTGTATTGCACTCACACAAAAATAAATGAATAATGTGTGGTATAGTTCAAGTATCTTACTAGTTCACAAAACAGGTTTCTTTGATTTAAAATTAACTTGAACTTAAAAAACCAAGGTTTTGGGGGAAACAAGCAAACACACAGAGGCATAACTCCAAGGCACTACTTCCCATCCAGTCTTTAGTTATTATTTCCTTTTCATTTCAGCTCATCTTTTCAAACTTTTAATACCTTTTGAGGGGGGTGGGGGGAAAGCTTTCATCCCTCTGCTGAAAAATAGATACGGCCATCTCCCAAGTCTTTAAAATTCACCGCACCGTGAACCGACTCTCCAGAGTCATGCTACGGTGCCAACACACAAAGAACAATGAACCCCTGGAAAAATGCACCCAGCGAAGGCAGTTTATCGAGTAACGAGATAATTTCATAAACCTACGCTGAAGAGAGAGGCTGTGGTGTAACATTCCAGCAGCATGTATCAGCTACCTGGTATTTACTAACAAGGTTAAATGACTATCTGTTGGCCTCAGCACTCTTCATAATTCACTTTTTAATGGATGGACAGGAAAAGTCAGCAGTGGATGGCACAGATCAGTTCAGAAATAGGACAAGAGAGCTTACGGCAGTACCTACTTCCGAACGCGCTCCCTCTTCCCGCACGATCACATCAAAAGGCTGTACTTAGCGACTGCGATCCTTCAAATCTACTCATAAATCCCTTGAGGGGCAGATCCCTATTTCTGAGCGAAACAGCAAATTTGAGAAACAAAGACCAGTGAGGAGGTGATGTCAGCTGGTCCCACGTACAGCACACCAGCTCTCCTCTCCCGGGCTCCTGGGCACCGTACGCCTGGGCAGGGGGCGGCGCGTGGCAAGAAGCTTCCGCCCGTGGGGAGTCAGGACCTCAACCCCACTTTGTGACAGCTCCTCGCGCTGCCACCAAAGGGCAGCAAGAAAGTCCCAAAACTGACTCGTGTTGGGCACAGCTCGACACAGCAATGCAGAACTCACCCAAACGGCCTTTTAAAATCCCTTCCAAGTGACTCCTGCAGCGAGAGGATGACACCGCAGCCAACCGCCACATATGACTCTCCAAATTAATAATGGATTTAGGATATTCATTCCCCGAGCTGTGAGGGTTCGGGGTGTGTCTGCAATTATCTAGATATAAGTCTGACACACATTATCCTTCGATCAATGTCATTTCCCTTAGTAGCCAACAGATTATCAGCAGCTTTGTGATATTCCAGGTGTCAAAGAAGAATTAAAACCACAACAATTGCCCAAACAAAGGGACAAAAGGCGGGATACGTGTTTCTGAGCCCTGCATATCAATTTAATATGTGCAGCTGACAATGATGCAAATGTCCTCGGGAGAGAGGCAGCAAGATCCGTGCCCAAACATACACACACCACCGTCAGCAAGATGGCAGGGAACAGAAGCAGTAGGATTCCCAGCCCAGGACACATGCCTCAGCAGGCAAAGCAACCCAATGAAACAATCCTCTGGTTGGGGAGAATTTTGGAAGCACCTGATATGGAAAAGGGCCCTAAACAAGCCAGATGGTACTTTTAGCTGGCAGCAGAAAGTAGGAGACAGCCAAAAACATTACAGCATTTCCCCAAGAGGCCAGCAAATCGATTTTTAACCATTTTTTTTAAAGTGACGCTCTGAATATAAAAAATAATGTTTCTGTGCATTTTAAAATTGCTAATTTTATGAATAATACACTTAAGAAGGCAACAACTGGAAGAGATGAGAAAGCAATGGATTTTCACTTTCCCAGGGTGGTTGTATATTTGACATCAGGTTTCTACTCAGTCACTGCCACTGTTTACTCTGAATTAAATGCCAGTTTTTGTTCAGGGTTTTTCCACATAATGTTAAAGAGAAAAATCCTGCAAAAGTACAGAAAATAGCACTGTAAAATGACAATAGCACAACAGTTCTCAGAACACAGGAGAAATGCTGTTTGTAAGTCTGCTCTGCCCTCTTAAATTCCTCCC